GCTGGGAGGGGCTATTGGGCCCTAGAAAACTATCAAGTACTTGGAAAACTGTGATTTGATTACGTACGTGCCACAGCACCTGCAGTGTGATAAATTTGGAGACGGGGGGAGTAGGGGAGGGGCATTGGATTTGTATGTGCCGCTCGCAATGAGATGCTTTTGCGTAGAAAATAAGAATAACAGGTGTATTATAATTGGTATATCTGGAATTTTGCTTGTTAATAACTAAGAACTCAACGTTCCTGCTGATTTAGCTGAAAAAAAGCTTTCAACAAAACACAGGCTTATTATCCCATTCGCTCTGACGAAGAGCTAACGCTCGACACGTCAGCTCGAAACTCTTTTTAAGTTGGCCAACTTACATCATCAACTCAGTTGATAAAACCAAAATTATCTTGTTATACTCTCACAACGACGCAGCACCATAGTTTCTTAAAAGGCTTACCCCTTGATGAAATATTAGACACACGAAGTAAAGATTTCATTTATTTCTCGATAGCTTCATTTTAAAATACTTCAAATAAAGTCGCAAAAGGTATCACTCAAAAGACAAGCGTCTACCTCCATTGATAAAGAAATAAATGTTTTTTCTAAGATTTTGGCTACTTCAAAGTTTGATGTCATTATTACTGAATTGGAAACTTGCCAAGGTTGTTACTTGTATACGCGTCAGAGAAGGGCTCTCTATTGAAGACGCATTTTAATTAGGTATTTTGAAACCGATAAGAAAACAGTTTAAACGGGCAAGCAAAAATAAATACAAACAAAACAGCTACAAAAAGGAAATGAATATGACAGGACCTTAATGGATCCAGAGTGCTTTTTTTAAATTCGTGTCTAATTGATTTAGAAGGCAGCATGCCTTGTTTATACCAATACACAACAAAGTCACCAAACTCAATGAAAACATGAATTTCTGACACGCAATTTAGACTTGCTTAACCCTTTAGCTCCCGTGAGTGACCAAGAGAGAATTTCTCCTTACAATATCAATACCATAGCAAGCATAAAAGTGATGAGAATGAAGTAAAATATCAATTAGGGGATTATTAGTTGATCCAATACCAAATTCTCCAAATTGGCATCATAGGAATTGTACGGCAGACAGTAAGGAGAATTACTAATAAGATCTTGGGAGTTAAAGGGTTAATTAACCTGCAAAAATAGACTGTGAAAACTACGACTTGGTATATATCCACCTTACTTTGACAATCGACTTTTTATTTATTTATTTATTTACTTATTTTGCAGAACTTCTCAAATTTCTGGCTTGTTATGTGTGCCTCAATGTACTGCTCATCCCAGATTATTTTTTATGTCTTTGTGACTGAGGAGCAAGTGAAACCCTTCATGTCTGCAGGCCTTCGGAACGAAAAGATTTGGTTGCAATATTAGTCATTTAAGCCTTATAGATGGACACAGAGAAATGATTTTTAGTAAGGACACTATATGCGAAGAAAAAAAATCAGTTTTAGGGTAAAAAGTATTCAGCTTTTTGTCTCTCCAATTTCATTTGGTTTACTTTGTGATATGTTTCCCTTCAGCACATTTACGACGTCTAAATATTTTCAGTGAGGGAAGAAAGCAAAATTGTTGGTCGTTTTTGTTCTTTTGTTGTGTTATTTTATTGTTTGTTTTTTTTTTTGGTTGGTTTTTTGTTTTGTTTTTTAAATTAAATTTCCGTTCTCCAGGACCAATACACGAGGATCACCCCACTCCCCCTCCCCTTAGCTACGCCTTTATCAACCCTTCTACCCCCTTTTGTGTGATTAGCAACTAATTTCTCCCAAAAGTATCAACCCTAAATCAAAAGCTAAGGTCAGGAGAGTAAAGTAAATGATCACCAAGTAAAGAAGCTTCTGATTGTTAAACAAATTCTCCTCGGACGCATCTTTGGAAATATATAAAGAACAGTATGAAGAATATGTATACTGATGTTGGGATGTAAAGGGCTTAATATGAGCAATTCTCCACTTTTTCGCCCAAAATTTAATCAAGAGAAAAAATAAAAGCCATCGTTAGAGAAAAAAAATCCATCTGACACAGTTCAGAGCAAATGTACTCGATTGGCTGCCTGCTAAATGGTGGATAAACGAGAACCAAAAGAATAATGAGAAGAGTCTTGGCTGAATCAGCTGTTTAAACAAACTGACACGAGAGGTGTAATTCAATCCTGTCTGTCTGTTATTTAGGAAAGAACTTGTCGTTATTGAATTTCATTCTAGTGACAGGCTCTATAGTGAGCAAATGACATCTCGAGATGAAAATAAAAATGCGTTCTTTGCTTTTTTTGTAGGGGTTAAAAATTTTTTTTTTTTTAATTTTTGGTAGACTGGTTATTTAGTTTGAAAAAAATTTCATTTTGCTACGAGAACATTTTTAAATTCTTAATGCAACATTTCATATATTTTTTTTCAAAGTGAAATTAAAATTGTCATTTGTAGCTGGACTGCCGTCAGTTATTGAATCAATCATATGCCAAGGGGTGAAAATTAGGATAAATTAATTGACATTAGGATAGGAGCTGATTCGAACATTAACGTACGAGAGGCTTACGACTTGAAGAAGACTTCAATCCTGCCTGTACGCGAGAGAGTTTCATGGCAAAATTTTGATCAGTTTCTTTTCGACGTTTAAAACTACTACCAGCATAATTACGGCTTCCGAATAATTGTTTGATGAGAAAGGAAAACAAGATGGAGAAATTATAAACCAACTTTGAAAAATGATAGCCAGGGACGGAGAGGTTTAAAATGGATTATAGATGGTAAGATGGAGTATTCACAAATGGCTAGTGATGTCTTCCCTGTCGATGATGATCAGATTTTTCACCTTTGTTCTCATTTACCAGACCCTTCTTTTCAAATGGCGTCTCACCGCTACCTAAGCAATTTAATCACTGGTATCATCAACGCCATCTTTGCACCGTTCGCTGTAATTGCTAACTTTTTGGTGTTTATAGCAATCTTGCGGAGTCCGACTCTTCGTTGTACACCCTCCTGTATGTTGATCGCCTGTTTGGCTTTATCAGACTTTTTAGTCGGTGTAATCGTGCAACCAGCGTACCTTGCTTATCGACTGAGAGAAAACCAATACGGTTATGTAAACTGTGCAGTAAGACTCCTTTATGCAAATGGTTTTTACATCTGCTATGGAGTCTCTTTCATGTCCTTGAGCACAATAAGCTTTGAGAGATATCTCGCTTTAAGGCTTCATCTTCGCTATAAATGTCTGGTAACTGTGCGTCGAGTGTTAATTTTCGTAGTGTTTATCTGGTTTCTAAACGTGGCCTTAACTTCTCTTCAATGGGCTCGCATCATCAAAATCGCGCGAGGCATGAGCTTGTTTTTCTGGTTCATGTCTCTTTTCATCGCAGGGATTTCTCAGTTCGGAATCCATCGGATCGTGCGCCGCCACTGTCGGGATATCGAGCGGCATCAAAGGCTATCAGCTGGAAATCAAAACTTTCGAATCCAAGTCAGGCTTGCAGTTAGCGTTGCTTACATTGTGGGGATATATTTCTTCTTTAATTTGCCAGTATTGGTTGTTACCACCTATCACCAAATTGCGACTGGCCACATTGACTCGTATGATTACTACAGCTGGAGTGAGACTATAGCTTTCTTGAACTCCTTCATAAATCCTATGGTTTGTTGTTGGAGGAGTCAGGACATCAGGAAAGCTATAAAGAAAATGCTACCTGCGAGATTTTTGTAAGACACATATTGGAGGGAAATAGAACTAATGATACAGATTATTATAGCCAATGGGAGAATATGGCCTCCTAGACCTCCTTCATAAATCCTATGGCCTCCTAGACCTCCTTTATAAATCCTATGGCCTCCTAGACCTCCTTTATAAATCCTATGGTTTGCTGGAGAAGACAGGACATAAAATAAGCTAGCAATAAAGAAAATGCCACCTGCAAGATTTATCTAAGACACATATTGGACGGAATTTAGAACTGATGATATAGAAGCAAATAAACAATAGTCGGTTCTGAACAGTCGAATTTCAGACATTTCAGCTGGTTATGGAACTTTAAAGTCAATAGCAAGCCTTGGCTTTATTCATTTAGCTTTGCTGCAATTTACGTTTCGTGTAGAAAACACGTGTTACCTTTCAAATTCTCAACCAACTAGACGCGAAAAAAACAAAATTTTAAGGATTTCGACACTCGAAAAAGCTCACGAGAACAGTGGTAAATTACCGTTTAAGTGATTAGCATATAACTTCTCCCATAACATCTATACATTACCAAGCAAACAGGTAGTGAGAATATTAAAACTCATCAGGTACAAGTTGTAACCTCGATCCGACACCAAATTATCGTAACTAATTTACAAGGAAATGTGTAGCAGCCAGAGGGGAGAAATAAAATATTATCTTGGAAGGACGACCTTCAGTACTTTGCAATCTAAAATGAAGATCAGCATCACTAGCGGATGACGCAGCTAAAAAACGGAAAGGTCTTTTCTTTGTTCCATATCTGCTCGCTGCGAACACGTCTGAGTGGATAAAGTTAAATATCTAATGTTTTAAAAGGCTATAGTTTAGATACAAGTTTAACACTACTAAATTCTAAACTCCCAATTTTATAAAAACAAGAAAAACAAAATTACTTTTTTCTTCTTGATTCAATAATTATGAATAAACACTCTTAGTTCGATAATTTTAGTTTTAATCTGCTATCGTATCAGAGAAACAAAACGTAAACAGAACTTACATACAACTTCATTGTTAGGCCAAGCACAAATTGCTTTTACATTAAAACTGAGTCTAGCAACAGAAAACTCCAAGGAGGGATTGACAGCATTTATTGACAGCTTTTATGCGGAGTGCTTTGGGTAAGGTAAAGAGTCCGGAAATTCTAAGGATGTCAGCAAAGGCCCGGTATCAGGTGCTCAAACTTCGAATTTTCTATTCGTGGGACAATATCATGAAACTTCCCTTTAAAATATTGTCTACGATTTCCTCGTTATCCCTTTGGCCTCCATGGGTGACTAGCCTCTAATTTTCTTTACAATATCACCCAGGAATCAAACGTTATGGTCACGAGAATGATAGAAATTACCACTAACTAAAAAAGGTGCTGATTTTGTAACAAATTCTCCTTTTCAGCTCCGTAGGAAATGTTTATAGAACAGTATGGAGAATTTGTATTCAGATAACAGGGTATAAAGGGTTAAGTTCATATCGGCATATTGCTATGTAGTCATGTGGACTGAAGTTGGTGCTTAAAGATTAAAGGGCCGTAATTTGTCGAAATCTGACCAAGACAAGGTTCTTATCTAGAGGTATCACCCCAGGCGTCTTGTCTTTTTTGAATCTATGTCTTGCCAGCTGCAACCTCTTCCAAATTCTTAAACCTGTTATCTCATTTCGAATGGACTTCACTCTCCACAGGCAAACCAGCGGATTGACAGATGAATTTATGAACGCTACCGTCTCAGCCCAACTGTATAGGTTGTAGCTAGTAATCTGTTTAGATGCTACTTGGTGAGATATGGTAATGACAAGCACTGGCAGGTTGAGCACAAAGTATACCGCTAATATGGATGCAATGTTTATCGCGAGCTTGATTTGCATTTGGCGACCGCGCCAATGTGTCTGGTTTAAATTTCGAATTTGCCTCTGGTGATGCCTTATTATAGGAATAATTCTACATTGGGTGGCAACCGCGATGAGAAGGGATGCAACCCACAATCCAAGATGAATTGTTCGAAAAGTATAGTTATGAGCCCATTGCAGAAAAGTTAAGGATATATTAACAAACCATAATAATGAAACTACTTTCATTACACGATCCTGGCTGACGATTTGAGGGTATCGGAGATGGTAGAGCAGAGCAAGTAATCTTTCGCACCCAATGGTGCATAACGTCATAAACGACACACCATAATACACGTAGAATCCTGTTGAGTATAACATCCTGACGGAACAAGGGACAAATCCATGCTGGTTTTCTAGCAGTCTATACGCAACATAACTGGGTTGCAGAACGAGGCCAACAAAAATGTCTGATATGGAAAGGCAGGCTAGCAGCAAGTTCGATGGTGAATGGAGAGAAGACGTTTTGCAGATAATGAAAACCATCAGGAAATTAGCTGCCACAGCAAACGGCGATAAAATCGCGTTCATTGCAGCTGTCACTAGGTTAGTGGTTCTACGATGGTAGAACTCGTCAAACTTTGGATCTGGAAGATGAAAGCAACCACTATCTTTGGTTGAGCCAATCGAAGGAGGAACGGTTGTGAGATTTTGTTCTGCTGCGGAGAATTCCATGTCACACGGTTTTGTTTGCCTCTCCTTAGGTAAAACACTGCAGGTGTTTTTAACGATTTTGACTTATTCAGTGATGATTTCTCTAATCGGTATTGTATTTAACAACAGATATAGCTCCCCGTCGACTGTGTTGGCGTGTCGAGAGCTATCCTTTTGTTTTTTTGCAGTCGATGGAAGTGAGGCGCCTACGAGCTTTAACCGCTCCACGGCTCAAAACTAGCACATAAGTTTTTTTTAATGCAAATTTCAAATGAAAGGAAAGTACTGGCAAGAATTACTAGGAAAAGCGTCCATCACCTGTCATTGTGCGTCTAACAGAAGAGAGATCAATTGGATAATTTCATACCAGGTTAAAATTTAGCCAATCTGTTGAAAGTTTTTACAAATGCCCAGAAAGGTAGATTTCACTCATTAGGAGTACTTCCCTATAAAGAGTAAAGAACAGCTAGGTTAAAAATAAGACTGAAAATCTTAATGGATTTGGTAACTTCTTAATTCGATCTTAAATTTGGCAATCGGTGGGCCACAACTCACAGCCAACGCAGTAATTGCTGTCAACAGCTTACGATGACGATGCATTAGTGGGTTCGGTAAACACGTAAGATATAAAAATATATTTTGCGTCCTTTTCCTCGATCTAGGGTTTTTAAAGTAATTTTTAAAAAATTAAGTTCTAAATTTTGTATTTGTTCAATCTTTTGGTAAAATCTGGTATACTGGAAGTTTATCTAAAATTGTACACCACTCATTTTAAATCAATGAATAATTGCAATTTTAAAATAATTTGGGCTTGGGAAAGCGAAGGTGGCCAATCCTACAACAACACGCACAATAGCGATATAAATTTTTAGGTAAACTTTGGATAAAAATTCAACAAATGGACTTCCTTGGATACTTACGAAAAATTACGTTTTATTTTTGCAAAGCCTGAGGAGAAGCACAAGGTTGACTAGAAAGTTTTGCCGGAACTCCTTTCTATTCATAATAATTTCCTTCAGATTTAAATAGAACGGCTCTAGACATGTTTAGTTAGTTAACACAGGTTATTCACGCAGTAAATTAAAGTGGCAAGTGCTGGGAACTTAGACATCTGGAAGATGATAGACAAATTTTTTCAAAATGAGAGTTTTTCAAAGATAAACCAATGCTCAAAAATCTTCTCCGTATTGAATTTGTAACTACGAAAATAATAATTTTGTAACGCGCTTAAGATAGAAATCCTTCTTTGGTTTTTTAGTTCTTTACAAGTATTTCACATGTAGGAGTTATTCATGATCTTGGTTAAACATTTTTGTAAGCTTACACGGGATTTTTCTCGCCGTCTGTCCAGCTTAGATTTTCCTTTTTCCGTTAAGAGTCATGTTTAGCCCAAATTGATGCCATTTACTAAAGTAGATACGATACTAAACGATATTGAACCTTCGCAAATGTTGATCTGCTTTGAGTATCGATGTTTTGCCAACTTCGAGCAACCCACTCAATTATGGAAAATATTTATTATTTGCAGTGTTAATAAAACATGCATTAGAACTGGTCAAGAGATTTCACGACTTTGAGAAATAGAGAGGATAATTCCTCAAAGTTATTCCTTGCTTCTTTTGCTTTTTTTTTTTTTTTTTTTTTTTTAACAGAGTGATTTTGTTTTCCATTCTTTTTTTCCGGGATGTCAATTTTGTGATTCGTGTAGAATATCATATGTATTTTATTATTCTCAAGGCCTTCCATAATCAAAATTTCTCTCGCTTGTCAATATTTTTAGCAATGCCTGTCAAGTTCAATTAAAAGATTTCTTTTGATCCCAACCAAAAAAACCACCCACGTATCTTGGGCTTGATTATTAAATAATGGTTCTTTTATTTATCATTACACCACGACAGTTTTTAAAAAAATATTCACAATGAAATTTTCATTAAATTTTAGCATTTTAAATTACCTATAGAATAGAAGTCTTGCATTTGATAACGAGTAGCACGGCAGGTCATTTTCACCCGCAAGTATTCATTAACTACGCCGATGACATGTTTACCTAAGTGTTATTGAACACCTTGGGTAAGAAGTAGATGAATACATCAGAAGACAAGATGGCAAGTCTTCTTGAAGTTGGTCTAAATCAGCTGTTTTAACATTTTTTTTAAAAGCGCTTGATGACCAGTCCCTGAGAAAAACATGGCCAACATCACGAACGCCTCGTTAACAACGGTTTCTTCGGATTTCCGTCCTCTTGGGAAGGACTTTTGCGTGTTGATTTTGCCTGATCCAGAATTCGACAAAGCAGCAGAACGCTTCACTACTAATCTTGTAACAGGTGTTATAAATGCAGTGTTGTCGCCGTTCGGTGTAGCGGCAAACTTTCTCATCATCCTGGTTATCAGCAGAAAGATATCTCTTTGGACACCCTTGAATGTGTTGCTAGGATGTTTAGCTGCTTCCGACTTTCTCGTTGGTTTGCTTGTTCAGCCAAGTTACGTTGCCTTCAGATTAATAGAGAACCAGCACAAGTTTGTCCCATGCGCTTTACGGTTGTTCTACTCCACCGGGTTTTTCGTGTGCTATGGCGTTTCTCTTGTTATTTTATGTGTCATTAGCTGGGAAAGACTCCTTGCACTGCTATTTCCGCTAAAGTACTCGCATCTAATACGTTTGTCAAGAATCTTTAAGCTTATAATTCTCATTTGGTTGGCGAACATCTTACTGACACTTCTGCAGTGGGCCCATACCGAGGTGGCCAGAGGCATTCACCTTGGCTCATGGTTGCTTTTATTAATAGCTGCGGTTGTAAGCCAGTTGAGAATCCTCCCAATCATTCGCTACCATCAGCAGCAAATCAAGAGACTTCAATCATCTTATCCTCAAATTTATCTTCCGAATCACACTCACATGCAAGTAAAGTTTGCAGCAAACATCGCATGCATTGTTACAGTTTATTTGGCATTCAATCTTCCAGTCCTTCTCATCACTACCGTCCATCAAATTGTTCAAATTGATATAAATACCTACGATTTGTACAGTTGGGCCGAGACAGCTGCGTTTTTTAACTCCTCTGTTAACCCAGTAATATGCCTTTGGAGAGTGAAGCTAATTCGCAAGGGGATCAGGGAACTTTGCACCTGTCGAAAGGAGAGAAAAATTCCCAGATATTTGTCCAACACTACATTATCAGACAAAGACGTTTCTCTAGTAAGATTCAGACGTTGCCAAGAACCATCGATAGTCATAATCGTCTCGAATAACGATTTGTCCGATAATGGAGACGAAAAGGTCCCTAAATAATCATCTTCAAGTTTTTTTATAGACACTACATCCCAAATTACAGACATGACAAAGACTTTGGCTCTGTTTTTGGGTCCGAATTCATCTAGAAACTTACCAATGCATGGTAGCCATAAAATTATGCATTGATTTCCGATAAATTTCCCAACAAAGCATCTAGCATAAAGGAGCCAAATGTAGTCCATTATTTAGCAAAAGGATCGAAATATTTGCATAAGATAAATTCGAAAAAGAAAATTGAAAGCTGTTAAATTATTCATGGAAAATGAGATAAATGGCTCTGATTGACCATATCATATCCTCTGAAAATGTTTCTCTCATGTTCCGTATTACGTCGGCGAAGGAAAACTTTCTATGGCCAGATTTTTGCTCCGTTGTCTCTAGAGACCTGCGAATCGTGTTCAAATATGGAACATTTTGAGATCTTGACTCACTCAGTTCAACAAAAACCTAGAGATAAAATTCAAATAAAATTTATTCCTAAATACAATTCCATAAACAAATACACCGGTCAGTGTAAGTAAACATATTAATCTAAACAAGTAGAGTTGTTTGTTTTAAAAGAATGTCCTTTGTACATAAACGGTTAACACTTTGCAATATTTACCATTTTAGAGGTTCCTTTTTGAACTTTTTTCTTTTTTGTATGAATAAAAACAATTCAAGATGTCGCTATGAATTTTTTGCAGTTTATCTTCCTAATTCACATTTGATCTCTTAAAGTCGAAGTGGCTTCATATTCAGATGACAACCAAATTCATACTTTCTTGAATTTTTTACACCGTTATAGACAATATCTTCATCTCCTCCCTTGCTGGAAGTTTTACATGTTATCCATGTTGCCACGAGTTTAAAAATTGCCTTCCTTATATTTCGACTCCGCCAGCAACAAATAAAAGGATTTAGAGACGAATTCAAAAGAGCAACCGTCTCTGCCCAGCTGTAATAATTCAGGGTACTCAAATTTCCTCTCACTATTTGGTGGTAGGTCGTTACTACAAGAACTGGAAGGTTAAGAAAAATATAAATCCCTACGATATAAGCTATACTGGTAGCAAGTTTTAACTGGCGTCGGTAACTATTCGCGTTCAAGTTAAACTGGTGTTCTTGTCGTCGGATTTGATCGTGATGCTTACGAACGATCCCGACGATTTTAAACTGCAGTAGACCTGAAGTGAACAAGCATACAAACCAGATTGTTAAATGAATTGTTCTCACGATGTCGTTGATGCCAGCAAATTGAAGGCAAGTCAGTGAGGCGTTTAAGACCCATATTACAGCGGCGACTAGTAGTAGGCGACGTTTGGTAACGATGGCTTTGTAGCGAAGATGAATTGTCAAGGCGATGTAGCGTTCGCAGCTTATTGAATTAAGCGTCAGAAAAGACACTCCGTAACAGATAAAAAATGACGTCGAATAGATTATTCTTACAAAGCATGGCACGAAATGGTCTCTGTTTTCACTCAGCCGGAATGAGACATAGCTGGGCTGGACAATAACACCGATCAGCATATCACAGGCGGCCAAGCAGGCCAAGAGTAGGTTGGAAGGATCTCGAAGCCATGCAGCGCGGAAAATTACATAAAGAACGACGAAATTTGCGGTGACAGCAACGGGAGAAAATATGCCGCTGATGATACTCGTTGCAAAGTTGGTGGAATAGCGGTATTGAACATTATGGAACTCTGGATCCACAAGAAAGAAACACTCCTCCGACTGATTCAACCCCATTTGTGGATCATCCGCGTCAGTATCTAGGCTTCGAACGAACTTTAGAACGACATGGTAATTTCCATACCACACTAACAAACCAGCATGCTGTTCGTAAAATTGAGATGCTGTCTCAATGTCCAAAATTTCTGACAAAAAGGTTTGAAGTCAGGTTATTAACTTCTTGACAGTGGTCGTCATTTCAATATGTTTTCCGCGATGGTAAGGTTGCATTAGCATATGCGTGAAAAGCTTTGTTTCTTTTAATGAACAGCTGAAATAAATGGCACAGCAACAAAACAAATAAAAGAGTGTTTAAAACCATGGTATGAATTTTGGTGCGAATATTGAAATACAATTAACATTCAAACCTTTTTTTTTTGTTCATTCACTAAAAGAAAATTCTTCGGTAAAATTTCGAACTGAAGAGGGAATAAAATTTGTTCTTTTGTTTCTTTTCATACTCGAAGTCAATTCGTCTCGTACTAGAGTTTATGAAGTGTATTTATTTCGAGAAGTTATTGGTCTGAACGCACAATTTCAAAGGTGCAAATTAAATTTAGCCTTATGAAAACGTTTCTCCCTTCTAACTTGTCAGAATTCTGTCCAATGACTTGGGCTTCGACATTTGTCATCAGTTTGATCAATGGACCAAATAGCGTCAAGCAATAAACTCTCGCCTTAATTTAAGAGTCAATTTTTACTTCTTTCGATTGCTTGTTTCATTTACTTTGTATTCTTTAAATACGCATTCGTTTATTTCCATGCATAATATTGTGCAAAACATATACAATGCAATTTGGAACTGAAATACATACATATTTACAAGAGTGTACCACATGAACAACAACTTCGTTTGCAGTGACGGCAAGAGGAGTTGTTCTTAGCCTGAAACTCTATATTAAAAAGGGAACCTGAAGCTTTTAAGTCCACTATAGATTTGGAGTGTTCTTATTGTTTGGTAAGTTTATATTATTGTACAAAAAAGATTGTACCTTCGTGAATGAGTTCGAGTATATATAGATGAATAATGTCATATCAAGGCTGAAGAGTAATACTAGTCATACAATACTGTTTTTTATGCTTGATAGAGGAAGTTGTGAAATTTAGATTCAGCCTATTGTTGAAAACCAAGCATATGCAGTACTTTCAGAAAGTGTTGTTAAGAATTGATTAAAAACGTGACAGGTGATAAAACACGAAAATGAGAGTTTTTTGGCGCATTAACACAATTCCAAACGCCACAAATAAATTTCATGTGCTATTATCTAACATCAGATGAAGAATATCTAGCTTTTTTCGGCTGAATATTAAATGCAATCACCAATTACATAGGTTTTGCGCCATTTCGTTCGATGATTGGCGTAGGAAACACACGCTGTTATCTCGACCAATTACGTAAAGAACTTAAAAGCGACTTGGTCACTCGCGTTTTCCCGCCCTTCAGTACGTTTCTCGTACTTTCTTAAACCGTTTAATCCTTAAGAGTGACAAGCATATAATATCTCATTAGTACATTACCCTTTAATCAAACATTAGTGTCACGAGAATAAATGAGATGATCGCGAAATCAAGAAATATTTGATTGTTGGTCAAATTCATCCCAGTAAGTGGCATGAGAAATTCGTATTGAACATTGCAGTTTGGCGTTAGGTTTCAAAAGGGTTGAATTCATTTTGGCTCCTTGAAATATTACCACTTAATTACTGACTATTTTTATTACTTTGGTTCTGTTTTTACGATTCTCGATCGAAATTAACTTAAACATTCCAAGTTGTAATTACGCCCAGCAAAACTCGTAATATCTCTCAACTTTTTAATTGAGTTCTTCACCTTCATTTCCTCTGGATGACATAAGCTGACAATCTCATTTTATTGCCCTTCGTCGCAACGGATGTATTGCCAAGTTCCATTTTAGTCAATGTTTTATTCAAACAAACGATCTTCGCTGAGACGGCTTTTCGTATCCCTCTGTTCCTCCAACAACAGATGACAGGATTAATCGACGAATTAAAAAACGCTATAGTTTCAGTCCAGCTGCAAATATTAAAATTGTCGAGATGTCCTCCAGCGAAAAGATACGCCATGATGAGTAATACTGGGATGTTGCAGGTTATGTAGATTACAACGATGTACGAAACATTCACTGCGAGTCTTGTTTGGCGCTGAAGATTCCTCTTTGGTGGCATGTGACTGAAGCTGTTTATTTGACGCTGATGTCGACGGAGAATCCAAAATATTTTGATATGTGTGCCAAAGGTGGCCAAGAGACAGATAAGTAAGAGGAAAGCGTGAATTTTCCGCAAATGCCCACTTTTCCAGATCCATTCCAAGGAAGTCAGAGTAATTTCCAAAACCCAGAGGCTGACAACCAGCTTTAAAACGCGCTGTGTAGTAACCAGCTCTTTGTAGCGAAGATGTAGGCGCAGCGCAATATAGCGTTCAAAACTGATGGCGCTTAGTGTCAGAAACGACACTCCATAACACACCCAGAAGCTTTCGGAATAAATCACTCTAAACAGACAGGGCACAAAATGCAAAATGTTTTCCTGTAAGCGGAACACAATGTAGCATGGTTGTACCAGAAGACCGACCAAGAAGTCAGAGGATGCCAAGCTGGCCAAAAGAAGGTTGGACGGCGAGTGAAGGCCGCCGTTTCGTGCGATCACAAACACTACTAGGAAATTGGCGACAACGGCGAAAGGTGAACATAAGCCGTTTATAATGGCTGTGACAAGGTTCGTCGTGTGACGATCCATTACTGTGTTAAAGCTTGGATCTGGCAAGACAAAGCACTGATCTGAAGAAATGGAAGAATTTCTCTCCTCCAAACTTAATCCGGCCGTTGGATTCATTCTTTCCCCTGCTAACGCGAGAGACAGTTTTAGACAAGCTGAGTACCTTATGTAGGGGAGCCTTTTCAATGACTGCTGTTATCAGTTCTATCATTGACACAATTTCCTTAGGCTTAATTCGTTTTTTTTTAGTTCAAACGTCACCTTTCCATTTTACTGTCATTTGTAAAAGCAATGTTATCAGAGACGTACGCGATGAAATTACCTTTACCTGTCGAATTTATCGACGTTGAACAAAATTTTAATTACAGATATAGATGTTATGAGATGGTGAGATGATTTATCTAATTGGGCAAATGCAAACTCAACTTTGAGGAGATACTGAGTTGATCTTACGCTCCGCCAGATAAATTCGAAAGGAGTGTAAGAATAAAAAAAGTGTTGGACTTAATCTCAAGCTGTCTTAGTCATTCACCTTTTTCAGTTAACGTCACGTTTTGTGTTCAGTAACAAATGGAAGAAGATTGACAGTAATTCTAATCTGAATGTCTTTAAAAAAAATTTTAATATGATTGTTGGAAGCCCTAAAGTCAGTCGTGCCTATACTGTATAACTCAAAGACGAAATGAAATAATACTTCACAGATTTGAGAAAGATAACGAACTAGAGAGTATGAGGTCTCTCTCGAAGAAAAATTGGTTTTGGCAACGGAACATGAAACAAAAATTGCAACGAATCGTGTGTTTTAGTCGTTTTTCATGCAGTACGTACAGATAAAGATCCCCTTAAACCATGGTCTCGAAGCACTTTTAAGAATTGGGGGGTTGACCATCGCAGTAAAACTCGGCTGACGGTTCATTCAATTAAGTCTCTCTATCGTTCCGCTTTCACTGTGCAAGTGACATCAGACACTATCAGAAGTAATGGCCGTATGGTAACTGTCACTTGATAAGTAAACTTTCATAAGTTCCATTTGGCAGCCGTCTGATTATTCTTATGCATTCTCAAACTCATTATCAAATTGCATAATGCTTTTAGTAACATCTCCGTTATTTTGCAATCTATGTGGTCAACAAAGATGATTTGTCACGGATTTACATAATTTTTCAATCACAGAGGGACTGCCTCCCAAATAAACCAAACATTAATTTTCCCCTCATGATAAATAAACAACGAGCATTTCTTCACAACTTCACCGGCAGCTGTGGCAACCGGTAAATTCCGACCAACTGCATTAAATTGGTGTTAAGACCGGGCGAATAATCCTTTTTCTAAAAATACTGTTGGGAAAAGATTATTTACATTATGTTATCCAGCGCATTCCACATGTATGAAATTGTATTGGCTAATTATTCAGCTCTTTTGAACCTCAGTCATCTCAAGAAGGCCCTGTTCTTTTAACTTCAAGTTCCAGCATGTGCCTCCAATCAGCAATCTTGTGAGTCCCGAGTGGCATTATTTAACTGTCGTGTAATCATTGCCTAGAAACCCAGTTTAACTCGCGTGCTCTTTTTCGCTTGTTTAAGCACAGGCAGACCACAAAAGGAGACTCCCTTTTTTCTCTTAACAATCTCCGGCCAAAGGAAATTTCGTAAAAAGTGGCTCCAAATGGCCTTTGAAGTTGAAAAATACCACAAATGCGTCGATTAACATTTCATTTAACTTTATGGAGATATTTAGACCGAGATTTAATATAGATATGCAATTTTCAGAGCTTTTTTTTATAACCATCAAAGATTCTGTTCCTCTCATGTCATCACTTATTAACCGCAAACACATGGTGTGGTCTGCCTGTGGTTTAAGAGACATATTATAAACAGGGGTATTATAAACAGGGGGTCTCGTTGCCGAACATGATTGGAGACAGCCGGTACAGGCGTTTCTCATTCTGATATTTGTGGCTTGACATTCCTCATCGTCGTATTTAGCTTAATCATTTGCAAAGGAAGTTTGAAATAGTATTAAGTAAACACGGTCTATTTCCTATAAATACAACAAATTTCAAAATAGAAGCATAAACTGACCGCCTAAGAAATGTTTTGGGGCACAAAAAAAGACAATGTCCGCGTTCTTTAACGAGAATTTTTCACTAAATACAGGTCCATGGTTTCTTTAGAAAAGGCGGACTAAAATAGTGACTGTGATGGCTTTACACGTGGTATCGCTAAATCTTTCATAAGATCCGCTTGAATTGACTTCAAAGTAGACCAAGGCTTCAGTGATATTGAGGACGCTATTACAGTGAAACCAGAATCACTTAAAGGTCAAGTGCTCCTCAACCGTTCGCCTCTCCTGATCTGTAACATTCCCTGAGTTTGAAATCTTGAGTATGCCTCAGAGAGCGTAAAACAAAACCTGTTTAAGCCAGTATGAATGATCTTTACAGCAGAAAAAATTGTAACTTGGAACCCCTCTTTTAGTGACGTCCATCAATACCATTGCGTTTTCTAAAATAAAACGCGTGATTAAACACCTCTGCGCTCATTGTGCAGATATCAGTTCTGAAAACAACGCCACAGGCTGACGATAAAGGAGACACAGAAACGCTTTCAAAAGTCTTTTGAAAACGCATCGTTTTCAAAACGCTTCGTTAACAATGTGCACTGGTAAAACGGGGGTTTTGTAAACTTTCTCGTGAAGAACATCGCACACTGATGCTTTCGTTCCAGTTTTATGACGGTTTTTTAATGTGGACGATAGACAGAAGTGCATTAAAAATGCGGATTTGATAAAAAGAAGAACGCACTAATGTGGAAAGCTGAAAATAGTGTGAAAAACGCTCATATGGGTGAAAAAATTTAGCTGAGTTTTCGCAAGGACAAAAATAAATATTTTAGAAGACAAATCACTGTGGCCGGCGCCTTAGTTCATTTCAAGAATTTTAAAACCATTTAGTGTGGGGAATTTCCTTCCGAGTCCTTCCGGTAATTAACGCATCTAATGGCCGTACCTGAGCTTGACAAATGGAGCCAAGTTGACATTTTTCAGGAGGTCTTGGGCTGCGTTACACCCTTCCATTTACCTCTTTTCACGAGTTTTTGGTGTTACGTTTGAGGCAAGCATGTTCTTCAAAGTAATTCTCACGATTCTGGTCTTTCTTTAGAAAACTGTTCTGATAAGCAAAGTGCAAGTTTGCCCGAAAACTTTACTTTTAAGTTCCGACTTATGTCGCCGTCCACAAACGCCCACGGTGTCACGACTAAGCCAAAGAAAGTATGAAATGGAACGGACTTTCGAACAAAGGAACGGACAAACGGACAAATTCTTTTCTGGAAGTAATGATGGCTAAGAAGCAAAAAGAAATCGCCAGCATGTTGTTTTTTGGCAGAACTGTTGCTAAGAAAATTGATGTCAACAGAATGTAAACGGAGTGTACTAGAGGTTTGAATTAGACGTATAAGTTAACGCAACAACTAATCAAAATCCCTGTTCCCACACGCTTAAGGAAAAGCGCACGTGTTTTTCCACTAAAGAATGGTTTTTCTCTCGACTACCAGCGACTTCAATCAATAATCAGCCGTGTAAAGAGTGCACACTTTTAAGTCATGAGCCAATTTTGCTCGTAATTTAGAGGAAAGGTAAGATATCTTTTAAGTAAAAAGATGACTACATTCAACAGAAAGTAAATATACAGATCCGTAAATTCGTTGACTTTGACGTTAAATCCCATTACAGGAAGGTTTCACCCCTGACGTCCAAGGAAAAATGGCGTAGTTCAAGATGGCGAATGTCTAGAACTTGGAGGAGCTTTTAAAAGGTGAAAACCGTTTTTCGAGAAAAACAAATCGCAGCCTTGTCATAAAGTGCGTGATATATTTACGAAACAGCTATGTGAATAGGAAATGAATGTTTTGTGGTTTGCATACGCTACAAATTCAAGATTTAAATCTTGTCCCTAATGTGGCCAAAGGTTAGAATGATGATCAATGAAGTTGCTACGCAAACGGTGAAATTCAAAGGTGGAGGGTAGAAATGAAGGGAGATAATAGGAAAAGGAGGATCGTCGAAAGAACGGAGTTATGACTTCACAAAGTTATGGGAGAAATTACGTAACAAAGTATTCGACAGGAATTGAAAGAGGTTGTTTTAACAAGCAAAGTTTAAAATTCACCAGTTTCCTTATTCTATTAGCATGACGGATGCTGATCGTCTTCATTTATTTATGTTCATTTTATTTCATTTAACCACTACTATGTCATTTTACCAAATAAGGTCACGAGAACGCGCAAAATATACCACGGTATTGCATCGTAAAACAGGGCTAAATATAGAGAAACAAAATGACAGCACTCAGCGAACAAAACTTTGGGGTTTTTCCGTTTTCTAGACTTGACTTTTTAAAGACAAGAACTTTTAAGCGCGACAAATTTTTTGTTGGTCACAGAGAACACTTTCATGGTTTCGTTCATGTTGCCTTCGTCTCTCGCGTACTCCCTATGTGATAGATACGATACACAAATAAGGCTGTATTTTGAATTTCAAAAATTAAAATCAACATAAGTGAAAAAAAGGAAACAAAATTTGAATAATAAATCCCTTAGACAATGGTTTAATATATTATACGTGCGGACATTTTGCTGATCTCATTTTTTTCCCTCGCCCATGGAAAATTATTACGCAACTCGCAAAATATCCGCTCGTATTTTATTTTAAACCATCGGATAAAGTGTAAGAGTCACTAAATACTTGATAATCAAAATGGCAAATAGTTCGCGAGGAATTTTTTGAAAGGTTTGTTATTCAGTTTGCGCAAAGGTAAATTAAATCTAAATCGAATGAATGTAGATAACAGACGTATAGACGGTAGAATGCTGGCACAAACATTAAAATTCATATCTAATTTGGTAATTTAGTTTTTCCACAAATATGCGACAAGGCGAAGACAGAAGAGTCATGAAAACTTTGGACCTTGATCGAAAAATAAAAAACTGTCGGATTCTTATTTCACATTGTGGCAAACGAAAAAAGTTAGCTTGCCCTGTGTTTTAGTCGTGGCTTCCATTAGTTCTCTATGTGACAAGTATCTTTCCCAATTTGCGACGGAGAATAGAAACTGAACGAAACCGTAAATTTACATAGCTGGATCGAAGAATATCGTGAAATTACTTAATCAATTACCATTTTCACTTTCCCCCTCTGGTATTTAACGAAAAGGGCTGAGAAAGATTGAGGAAAATATTCAATTGTCTTCGCAGTGCTTCTGATTGATGCCTCACACAAACCCTGATTTGTTTAGTATCGAGAGACAAGCAACGTAGGAATGAGAAACTAGTCATATTCTGCTTCGGCAATCTGTTTTCGAACAAGACCGTGAATTTTTTACCAAGCGCGTTTGCAGGCCAGCAAGCCAAGGCTGAATAAAAAAAATTATCGCTAACAGGATCAATGACAGCCCGCCAGCGGGATAGAAAAATAATTAACTAGCACGCTTTTGCAGTCCATACGAATTTCCGTCGCGTGATTAGTACAGTCTAGATAAGCGCCAGCTGCATTATAATAATTGGATTATCCAATTGCTTTTGTTATTTTATGCTTTCCCTCACTTGTTGTGAGGTCCTTTTAGATGAAAATGTTACCGAAGTGGATGAGAAAGAAAATGTAATCGTCGTTCTCTGAATTATACGTGATCCTAAAATTTGATCCAGAGTGCAACAGAGTCTGCGTTAAATAACTTGAGGGCCCCCAATCAGTCAGGCCTACCCACAGACAACAAGGAGTTTATTCATCAGCTGCCTCGGCCGTTTAATGAGATTTGGTTTGAATAGAAATAACAATACTTGACAGCAAGTATTATCCTCATTTCTTAATATAGAAAAATATTGTGGGAAAGCTCGGCGCGATGAGAGCAATTCCTGTTGCATAACCGGCTTAATTTTTTTCTTTGAACCCTTAACTCCCATGAGAGACCAAGACAGAATTTCTCCCTACAGTGTTAATACAATATCAAGCAGACAAGTCATGAGAATAAAGAAAAATATCAATTAGAGGATTATCAGTTGATCGAATACCCAGTTCTCTAAACTTACAACATAAGAGTTGTATGGCAGACAGAAAGGAGTATTACTGATGAGATCTTGGGAGTAGAGGGCTCAACATTACCCTGGTACACCTAAGATAATTTTTTTTGGCACACATATATAAGTATCTTAAGGACTGCAAGTCAAAGTGCGCTGGCTCCTCAGTTGCAGTTAACAAGATGTTTTGGGTCTGGATTTTGACAATAATACCTATAACTTTTCAAACCGCACATGAATTTCGGGTTAAACTTCCTAGAAGATGCGAGGAAATCTCAGTTCCCTTGTGCGTCCGTGTTTTACCATACAATTTCACCCGCTTCCCAAATTTGGTTGGCCATCGCAGCCAAGTGTTGGCTAGACGATCCATAGACTACTACAGCTCGGTGTTTGTTGAAGACGCGAATTGTGCCAAGCATGCCGCGTTTTTCCTCTGTTCCTTCTACCTGCCCATTTGCTTGCCAGGAATTGAAGAGGGCGTCATTAAACCATGCCGATTTTTGTGTGAGAAAATCAAGAAGGGCTGTCCCGCGATTAGGAAGCAGTGGCCAAGTTTTCTGAGGTGTGAAGAGCTCCCCAAGTTCTCGGATGGAGTGTGTGTTCAACCCATGTCGTTTGTTCCCGCTCATCAGCCCGCAAGTAAGTCGCTATGTACTCGTTGAGCAGCAAAATCTGTAAATATCGAGCCAATTATGGTAATCTGTCGAAAAATCGATTACTTTTAATTTTTTTTGGGAAATAGTGATAAGATAGTGAAGATTGCAGTTCGTCTCTTTGTGTATCTTTAAGTCTCTTTATTTGATTTATCTTTGAGTGAACCAAGTTCAAATTCTCCGTTTGGTTTTCTATCGTAGGATCCAAAATTGAATCCTAAAGGTTACTACTCTGAACTCACCTCGTGTTCCGAAACTAAACCTTCAGCGGACTTTAGACACATTATATGGACAACAAAACTCTTCCTTTTTCACGAGGTCCTAATTGGCAACAACATTATCAACAACTCCAAATAGTATCAATCCTTTCTGGTGAATTTTTAACATTGACCTAAAACGTACCTTTGGAATGGTCCGTGGTTTCTTTTCTCTGCTCCTAGAGAGAGGCAACAATTCCAAATTTGTCAGAGAACGATCAGACACATGTAAACATTATCGCGATCTTCTAATCAAATGGTAGATTACCACCAATTGAGACTTGCAAGAGGAAAATTAGAACGATTATTATCTTAAGTTGTTGTCAAGATTTTGATGCATTGAGACATGAGAAGGAACTAATTATGAGGGAAATCGGTCAAATGATTTTCATGGAAGGTTATTACTACCATGATATCAATGTCACTATATCACTGCAACTATTTACTTGCATTTCCTTCGTCATTGACATTATAAATATCATTCTGACTATTGTCATTAAAACTTTTTCATCCATTAAACGATGTTAGGTGATGTAAAGGATAACTCCTGTGCAATGGAGCTTCCAGTTGATTACCAGCATTACGCCAGCAAACATTTCGATTATGGTAAGGGGGTTTATATATCTGCAATTACTTTATTACATGGCCTGTGGCACAAAGGTACGCGAGCGAGCGAGCGAGATGGCCTCATTTTTCACGATCGAGATGGTGCTATTTGATCGGTGAGGCTAGAACGTGCTGGTAAACGGCTGAAATAACTCGATACGCGATAATTTTGTTACAGGACAAGAGTTTTCAAGTGGTTTTACAAAAACAGAGTCACAAAAACATGCCTTGACACTCAAATAAAGAAAAGCACTCCAAGTTTCGAAAAAAACACCCGGCGATTCTTTAATTTAATTTTTTTTGTCATATTTTGAATTCTTTTCTGACCATTCTCAACTACTGTAGCCAGACAATGGCTTCGTTTTCTCTTCCTCTCTCTTCCTTGCTCTTTTTTCTCACTTACACCCAAAAGGATGCATTTCTGGTCAGTAATTTCATATCGTGACTGGCGATAGAGATCGCATATATATATTAATTGCACTCGATCCCGAATTAGTATAATCTTCCTGCCTATGCTATCAATTCGCCCGCAAATTTAAAGTATCCCTTAAAGTATCCATGAATAAAGGGGGTATGTTTGTAAAGAAACTGTAGTGCTGCGTCGGCAAGGGATATAACAAGATAATTTTGTTATCAACTGAGTTGATGAGTTGATATGAATCGCCATCTTAAAGAGTTGTGAAGCTAGTTTTTCAAATGATAGCCCTTCGACAAAGCGAATGACACGTTCTTACACTACGTTTATCTATCCTTTCAGTTATTAAGTTCAGAGTGATTCTGTTGGAGGGAGTTGGAAATAAAGGAACAATAATCCACGGAAAAGTTGCCAGAGTATTCAAGCAAGGAAACAAATTAATTCACACCGGCCGCATAAAGATCTGGAGCAATACTAAAAAGCTTTGCCCCTCTATTAAAGCAAGAAGAACGTTTCTGATCTGCAGCTATGAAAGCGCGTCAAGGAAAAAACTTGTGCTGTCATCGTCAAGTGTAGTGTTGACGTGGAACGCACAGGCTCTCAAACAGATCAGAAGGTGGCTGCGATATGAAAGAAAAATGAAGCTGACGGAATAAGCTTATACATTGAAATGATGACGATGATGCAGAAGGTATAGTTTTGTGATTTTAATTTATCTTCCCGGTGAAGCGAATGCAGCTTTCACTAAGTGAAAGCTGTTGACTACAAGTTTCTTTATCGCCACTGTTTCAAAACACTTAAAGCTGGAAAAAGAGATACTATTTAAGAGTGCCTATGGGTCTCTCCTTGACATGTTAACACTTGGTTCCGAAAAAAGGTCAGACATTGTTCATAATTCTTATTCCTCTTTGATCTCATTTGGATCAGTTTCGGTTGAACTCAGCCTGATTTTCAGCAACTATGAGTCGCATACGAAGTGAGTAAATCACGCTGAGAGGATTACTCGGTAAACTTTACATGAATTCAATCCGCCATTTCCGGATTACCTTTAGCTTTTTTTTCAAAACGAAGCCTGGTGCTCAACCATTCGTAAGAAAATCAATCTAATTTGCATATGAATAAAAAACATATTTTCATATGAAACTAGCACCAGGACTCGCTTTGAGAAAGAGGCCAAAGGTAATTCAGAAATGGGAAATTACCCTAATCCTTTATTTTGTTTCTTTTATGTTTTGCAGCACGGTGCGGTTAACCTCAGAAAGCTGTGGAATGTTTAGAGAAGTCTGCATTAATTCAAAATCAAAAGACGTTCTAATATAATAATAACAAGATACGACAACGTTCCGGTCACTCGATATACATATCAGTCTTGCAAGTCTGTTGAAAAACGCGATTTTGAACAAGACAGCGTTTTTGCAATCTGATCCCAGAGTCATAGTAGTAAGTTTAACGACAAAGCAGAATTTTTGACACTTAGTAAACTCCACTTCTGTAGTCGATTTGAACAAGAGAGGACGAAGCTCTTTTGATGTCTAGCAGAAGATGCAAAGGTTAAAAGAAATGACTAGCAAAGTTAACTCGATTAGTTGAAGCATTTTAAACAAGAAAGTGGAAAGTAATTTTGCAATACAATAAATGAGAGCAAGTTTCAATTGAGTGTCTAAAGTAAATCGGAATTGAATAAAGGGGGTAAGTTTCTAAATAGACTATGGTACTGCGTCGGCGAGAGTATTATCAACTGAGTTAATAACGTAAATTGGCCACCATAAAGAGTTTAAAAGCTGGCGTTTCGAGCGTTAGCCTTTCGTCACGGCGAATGTTAGCTTTAAAACTCTTTATAATGGCCAATTTACGTTATCAACTCAGTTGATAATACTAAATACTCTCTAATCCGGAATCGGTTTAGTTTTACTGTATTTCGTTATGAGATTGGTCCTGAAAACTATTGCCATTTTCTCAACCAATCAGATTCAAAACTAAAACCAAGCACGACTTGGCAAAACTAAAACCAAGCACGTGTTTTCCCACGCTTCTAGTAGCTTGCTTGTTCTTCGAGTTCCCGTTGTCTCCTGGTAATTTTCCTCGCTGTGATTGACTTCTGATTTATTTCTGAGTCATTTTAAAATACGTAAGACAATGAATATCACTTATCAGTATATTTTACATTTGAATTTGAAACGGTCCACGAATAGAATATCTTTGAAAGATGCCTAAACTATATCTTATACAATAAGTTATTTATTCAGTCGAATAAGCATTATGTAGCCGGTTAAACAACAGTTTCCATTTATGACCTGGAAGAGAGAGAAAAATTCTGATTAAAACCTATGTGGAATTCAGAATCTCAGCTGCAAATGGAATCTTAAAATTCAGTGAGACAACACAGCTTGCCTTTTCCTGTTTTTTTTTTTCTTGGAAAGCCTTAAACAAACAACTACTTAATTTTCACAATAAGATTATAACCCATGAACGGAAATACATCGCAAAAACATGCATTTCTGTTACTGACAATGTGATTTTACGCAGTAAAATGAAAGTTTCATCAAAGGCCTTGCCTTAGAAATCTTTATAATCTTGTGGGGAAGGAGGGGGTAATATTTGTAATTTTATACTTGAAGGGGGAGGGGGTAGAATTGGGAGGTGAGGTTGAAGCAATAGTATTAATTATACCAATCTGCTGAGTTGACATATGGGTTATTTCAATTCCGGCTTTCTCTTTACGAAATGACACGTTAGTGAAGATGGGTTGAAGAAGGGAAGAGTGAATCAGTTCTTAAAGGGAAAGCCCTGGAAATGAAGAGGGAGATCTTTAAATAAAAAAGATCCTAACCGCGATCTCTCTTATAAATTATGGGTAATGCAAAACTTATTGCTGAATAAATGACAATATATAGAAGTTAATACTTACTAACAGAAGCCACAGGAAAATTTGCATTGTTTCATCATTACAAACGGTTTTACATCACAAGCATCCTCCAGTGCGATCTCATAGAAACAGTAGTATTTGTCTGAGCTATCTTCACAAGGAAGAGACCTTAGACTTTCTGTGAGAGAGTAAGAAATTTTTCGTTTTAGAATAACAGTGTAGAAGCGGCGGAACCCAAATACTTAGAATTTAGGAAACTGAGCCATAACAATGTCAGGGAACGTTGTGCAAACCACAACGGTAACGGCAACAAGAACGCGACAAAATAAGAGATCGGCCGGTAACTACGGTAATTACATGCATTAAGCGATTATAAACTCTTGCATGCGTCCATTCGCGAAATTCTGACGAAAAGTACGACTGACTCAAATTCATTTCAAAATCGACGTCTTCCTCGGCGTTGCTATCCTGCCCGCCTAAAAACCCGTTAGAAAAAGTGACAACGAGTACGGGAAGAAGAAAAAAGACGATAAAAGTTACAAGGACTAAAGAAGTGGGAAGGATTCCTAACATAGCAAACGTATTGCCTGACGAGCAAGGGTTCACTAATACGATCCAGTGAAGAGACCGCCATATTGGATGGGTAAGATTGAGGGAAGCTTGGGGAGAGTAAAAACTTGTCCTAAGCTAGTAGTGGTGAGAATAAAAAATATTTGCTGAGGGGATCTGGGGTCGGGCAATAACACATAATAATGAGGCTAAAAAACTTTATTAAACGCTTGTGAAATAGAGGGCATGGTAAGACGAGACGGAAAAATATTTGGTGGCCGAATTATATAAAAACATGTGTTTGTAAACAGAAGAGCAGCCAGGTTAAATCAGTACTCAGTTAAAAATGGCGCTGCCTGGTTTGAAAATTTTAAAAATGTGGAGCTTTTGGCAACTAATCTTTAAGTATTTTTTTATATGTTTACAATTGCTTCTGCAGCTGTCTATAATGTATAGGCATTGTCTTCGAAATCATGTAACCAAACTGAACAATTCTGTTTTACATTTTGTGTTCTAAAAGGCACGTCACGACACAACAAGGTTCGGGATAGAAATAAACGATTCATCGAGTCTTTTTTTTTAGACACTTCATGGCCAGTGTCTCCTTTAAATCGCCGAAAACGTTCAGATCATTTCACACGATTTGCTCGTTCAGGCAGAAAATTGAAGCGCAATTAATTTTATATTGACCGAAAACCGAAAACCGAAAACCGATGGAAAATAGAGCTAAAGGTTGGCCTAAAACGTTCAGGTTGCCCAATGATAACTTGCTCAAAAGTAACTTTTATACCTACCTTTATCTGCTAACGATGTTGGTAAACCAGTCGATAATTCGGTACAAGTTGCCAAGAATACAAGCAGAACAGCTAGACGGAATGCTTTCGATGTCTTCATGTTACCAATTTTGATCATGCTCCTCGCGAAAACAGCTTGTTAGGAGAATTTTAACCGTCGGGTGTCTCAGGAGAAAATTTTCTCTGTCATAGGAAGCAAGGGTTTCCTAGCAAAAGATAGTGAAAGGATTTAGTTCTAATTATCATAGATTTTGTTTCTGCTAGTGTGCAATGGAGGATAAAGCGAAGACTATTTGAAGAACGAAGATGAAAAAGTTAAAACCTGACGAAAAATTTGATCGAAGACAAGTTAATTTCTCATGCTTTAAAGCTTGTTCTTGCAAGTTGCATACACAAAATTCGCTTTTCCATTAAGAAGGCTGAGGGATCCTTTGACAGCGTGACTCTTTTTTAAACGGAAATTTAAACCCATGTTATCTTTCAAAAGCTTATCCGGGGGAAATTGGTTTCCATTATTAAAATATAAAAACAACTCCTCTTTTGAAAAAATTAATCATTCTATAACAAACTTGAATAGATCTATTGTAAAACTAATTCTCCTTTCAGCGTTACTGGCTCCATGATAAATATTTTTTTAAGCGAGTTTGGACTCGATGTTTGGCACAAATTTAATATTTTCTTGACATTTATCATGCTCTTCATTTCCATTCTATATAAGAGAAGCGTGCTCAGGAAAGCGGCGAAGAATAAAGAGAAAAATTTATTAGAAGCATATAAGGCAAACATTTTGTTTTATTTTCAATTTAAAAATATTAGACAGACTTCCGTCTGGTGATGACATCCCTCTTAAAAGCGAGCTCACACTAATTTAGGGACTTGAAATTATTTTCTCAGGCGGAAAGGGTGCATGCTCGCTCTGCTTTTAATCGCATTTAACATTGTAATACTTTTGATATTTGTTTTTTTATTACTAATTTTTTCTCATACAATCGATCATCGTTAATTTAAACTCGACCTATAACTCCCACTTCCTCAACGCAGAAAAAAAAACCGAAGGCCATTTCCGTCGCAGGATATTTTCGAGACTTTTCTCAGCAGATTGCTGGAGCAGCCCGCTATTTCGTGCTTTTGTTTTTTTTCGTTAAATTTCAAGAAGAAGGGACCCTCAAATGCCTGGGAACATCGGTCAATAATCTTGGCTAATTTGGAAAAAATATTTTGGTCGTAAAATGTGACTCGCGTCAAAGTAGGTCTGGCAACCGAGATGAGACGACGTCCGTGTTTGACGTATGTTATAGGCCTTTCTTAGCACAAGTTAACATCAATTCTGGACGCATATTGAATTGTGGTTACCATTATTCTTCAACTCTCTGAAATGGCAAACCAACATAAGATTCATTATCGTACAAACTGGTGATAAGAAAGTCAAAGAAAACTCAGTAGCCAAGTGTTTTTGCTTTTTTCTTTTCGATAAAGAACCATATTCCCCTCACTGATTCATAGGGAAATTTTTAGTGGTTAGAGCTGAGAAGTGCTTATCAGATCTTTGTAATTGATATGTTAAACGGGCAGGCCACAGCATTTGAGACCATTGGTCCGAAATGCAAATTTTTTCTCTTTGTGAAGTATTTCAAATATCATGGAAACTTGACGGTTCTAGCTTATTCATTATTCTAGCCAAGACGGCTTTGAAGCGAAGTTTCATTTCATAATATTACCATAGATGACATAACCAAATCTTCTTTGTTCATTGGAGAGAATTCTTAACAAGTTAGCGTTGGAGAACAACGGTCTCCTTTCTTTATAATAAACAGCTGCAGGTTAACTGGACGAAACAAAGTTCTGCAGAAAATTGTTTTCTTTGTTTTGTCCAATACTGTGCCAGTTTAACAAATTATTACAAGATTTTTACATATTAATTAAAGTTATACTAAAACCAACCAATTACGTTACAATTATATTCAATAAGAAACAATTATTCGTTCTCTTCAACACTCCAGCTTTAGCATTTTCCCACTGAACCGAAAGCCAGTATCTAGGTTCCCAAATATAATTTAATCAATCTATGGCGTGTTAGTATAATCGCGTAGATGATTTTCGACTTACGTGCCTTCTGATTGGCTGAGTATAACGTCACTGAAATCCATTCTGTAATCACCCTTGCGTGAAGTGATCATTAAATTGGAGGACTAACTCTCAAAATTTCTTTATTCGCAGAAAGAAATGCTTGAAGTTATCATAAAATTGGAGGCTTACCACTCAAAATGCCTTAATTCCTAGAAAGAAATGCACGCAACTTATCGTGCTGTAACAAAAGAGTTGGAGGCCTTTTTTTTCTTCTGGAAAATACACGTGAAAAACAATTTTTTTGGAGTAAACTTTGAAGCTTGCAGCCGGACGAATATGTACACTACGGAAAAATTTACCGGTCACACCAATAGTAATTCTTCAGGCGATAAGATATCTTTTTAGTATTATTGGCAGGCCTTGAAAATAGGGCTTGTTAGCTTTGATGACCAAATTAGAGTTGCTTCAACTGCATTTGGCATTGATTATGGGACTCTCCATCAAACAAGCGCGCTGCCAGATTGAGTTCGAGGACAAACATATTATGTTAAAGTTTCCGGTTACAACTAGGAATACCTCCACATAGAACATTTATAAACATAATAATCTTCAAACCTTCAACTAAAAAGGTCAACAAGGAACGCATGAATATCAGTTATTAAGTCAGGCGTAAACTAGAAATATCTCAAAATAGGTAAAGACTTTTGACACCAAAGCTGACAACTAGCGTCAATTTAAAAGTTTGCTCGAGTGGCTACTTCAATAGATTTACAATGGAGATGTTCCAACCGCGACAAAATCCTGTTAATGCCCGAGAGTTCTCGCATTAACAAAAATAGTTGAAAAAAAATCCGCAATTTGTATAGCAGTGTTGTTTGAAAGCACCTTGGACGATCTCCTAATTATCGTCTAGGTTTGTCCAACAACCAGAAGAAAAAAACTTAATATTCTTTGTGGGAAAAAAAAAACTGTAAAACAAAACTCATTGATACAACTAGATAAATTTATTAGTGAATCTTACCCTTAGTAGATGCGTAGCAGGTAGCAGCCTTTAAGATTGAAAAACTCTCTCAGACATATGGTCAACTGCTGTGGCATTGACACCGACAGTGTTATTTAAGCACGTATTCAGCTTAAAAAGAATCACCCGAACCAATCACAAAAAACTTAGTTATCAACAGATGTTGAGGTAGACTTATCCGAACATTAATTACCAAAGCAATTAAGCTGAAAATATGGATATAGCCAGACAAAACATGATCAAAGACATGTTAGCCTTTACTTGAATATACTGATTTGTGTGGGAGGAAGAAAATAAAAGAATAAACCAAAGCGGTTAAGCTTTTGTCAAAATTTGGTTTACATGCGTCAACCGAAATGCTTTTTATAAAATACGACTTTTTCTCCGGTAATTAAGGATGACTTCGCGAGAGTTCTTGATGATAATTAAAGTGTGTATCTTCACTCCTACTCATCACGCACAGTATGGAAGTCAAAGAAATACTCTTGATTACCTTGACAAATCACTTGACACAAAAGACTGGATTCATCTTAGACTTCAACAATACTGATAAAGCACTCAAACTCATCGCGTCAGAAAACTTAAGTGTTCATAGTTCGATCATACAGGCAGACAAACGGATTGCAATTGAACGACGAGTAATAACATACTAGCCAATCTATAGTTAATCCTCATTACCTTTATTAACAATCTCTACCGTAAAGTTTTAGTGGAACGAATATGACGGTCGTCTGTCCAAAGGTGATTAAGAAGTGAAACTTTAGCTCAAAGTTTCACAACCGCATGAAACAGGTCAAATTAACAAATGATGCTTAATTCAATTTTACATTTTGCTTTGAATTGGGTTATCACAAGTGTTATCGGTGGCAAATAGAGGAAAAACGAATTTTAACTTGTAAGTTATGACTAAGAATGTGAGATAAACAAAACCGAACATTAATACCAATAAGAAAATGCAGGTGGAGGTTCTACAGCACTTAATTATTTTTTTTAAATTCAAAAATTACTCAATGTCTGGCTTTTCATTGTTTTAATTTTTAAATTTGATATATACCTGCTTTTACCGCGAAAACTCGAGAGAGAAAAACTGGTATCCCAGAGGCTTTCAGTCCAAGAATTCCTGATAGCAACTACTATCAGAAAGCCCTTCGAGAACTTTCGGTCGATGTTAACGATTCATACGAACATAACTCTACGTTTTTCTGTTGTTACCAAGAAAAATATAAGATGTCCCAGTTGTTTTACTTGTAATAGGGCAAAAAGTGGAAATATGACGCTTATGTTCTCCAAATTGTAGATTCGTGACAATTTTTAAAAAATATCAGCCTTTGTTGAAAAGAGTCCGTTCAAAGGCAAAATTGTTATCGATTATATTAATAAAATCAGTAATCAAAGCTCCAACTCATATTTTACATTAAAGAGTTCAAATTCAATTGTGCCTGAAGGTGCCTTATGAAATTGCAAAGGTCGAGCAGTTTCCTTTGAATAAATTGTGATCACGGTATCTTTCCAGATTTGAACGATATGCACGTGGTTCTAATCCGTTTCCTAATTGGTCATACGGGCTGACTTATCTGCGGTTACTGCATTAATTTAGCATTTGAACCA